CTGAACTGTTGCAAAGTCAACAGTTCTAAGTCTTCTCCAGTGATCCGTAGAGTACAAAATTGCAGAAGGTAGAACATCTGAATTGTTGAATAAATAGAAGTAGGAGGACTGATGTCATTAGAACCTCCCCACATATACTAATTTTTAAAGTGAGGCTTAAGGTAGTTTATAACCCATGAAAAGAATAGATGTGAGCATTTAAGGGGGGTGTCTAACTCTTCCCCAAATTTTTAAATATACCTTATAGCCTGAGCCAGGAATGTTTGGAAATGTGAAGGGAGGCTAACACAGAATGGTTGTCATGCCCTGTGCGATCTGTTGTACTATATGTATATTAGTTATTGTATAAGAGGTAGAAAACCTGGTGTCCTTTTGGCAGAAAGACCGGCCTCAGGCTGCACTCTGGCTGCAGGGTGGGCAGGGTGCAGCGACCATGAGCATTCTGCTCAGTGACTTCCTGCCAAAGTCCCTATTGGTCAGGAGCTTGTCTAGGATACACTGGCCATTGCTCGGCTCTCCACGGACCCCCTGCCTTTGGTGGCAGAGCCTCCTAGTCTTATCACAGATCCATGATTAAGGCGCTCACATGGCAGTATGTATTACGCTCTCCCTGCCAGGTGGTAAAGTAGCCATAGAAACCGGATCTGTTGCAGAACTCTGTTCCTAATACAGGCTGCACAGCTGCAGAGCACTGCATTGAGGATGACTAGCAAGTAATCTGAGGAGTGAAAGCCAGCAGAGAGAGGAGTTCCCTGTGGGGAGGGAAGGAGACTGCTGGTTCACTAGCAGCCACTTGTATTGTCAGGCCCTAGTTAGAACCCCCCTTCATAGGGCCAACGAGGGATGGATGGAACCAGGTTACCTGCCAGCGTAAAGAAGTCCGAGCAGTTTGGGCCATCCCTCTTGGGAGTTTCTTTGAAATGTTTTTGTCCCTGCAGTTTCTGTGATGCTCACGTGATCCCAGGGGTTGAAGCTATGACCCGTGCTGTAGTAGCCAACTTAATATTCTGCAAGCAACTTATAAATGCTCACCTGGAGCCAAGTCAGTCCAGGTTTTTGCAGAAACAAAAGCTAACTCACAAGTACTAAACAGTCCATAACTGATCCATCCTTAAGGAGACTCATGTCATACTTAGAGCCATACACATGGCTGCAGGATTAAACAGTACAGGCAGGAAGGATTGTGCCACAACTATGAGCTGGCATGAACGCTTCCCAACATTTACAAAGTGCAGACTCCTGCAGGGACTAGGCTTAAGGTACTTGAGGTCACACATGAACTCATTTGATGGAATTCTTCACTGCAATTTGCCTGGGTCACCCAAACATGCTTGGGTCTTCAGGCTGGAACAATATTTATGCCACAAGCATAAACATAACTTTACTCTTCAGGATGACTGGGCAAAGCTTAGTCCAAGAAGTATGAAGGCTCTTACACATGTTACTAAGTGAAAGAAATAACTGTATCCTGTTAGAGAACAAGAAAACGTTACCTTCTAAACCAAGAAGATGTCCATTTGTCTGAGGAGCAGGCATTTTATGAAGCATGTTTATTTTTCTATGTTGAAGCTCGGCAGCTGGAGAGTCTACCTCTTTAGTTTTCTTCTCTGCTTTATTGAGAAAAGGAGCCAGAAATCTGGAGAGGACATCCCAGGAAAGCTTCTGAGGCCTGAATGAAAGGGTCTGCACCCCAAGAGGAGCAGGACCTTTGGATGATGGTGAAAGTCATAGACATGCCCAAGTGTTTCACTTAGAAGTAATCTCAAGGACTGGCCAGAGCTACTGCTTTGAGAGCGAAACAGGAGAGAACAAGCAGCCCATGGACCTTGTCAGAACCATGCTCCTTTTGGTGGTCATATCTCCTTCAGGTCCCAGTTTCTGTCCTACCCCATTAGCCCAGTGCCTCCTTCAGTAACTGTGCTGCTGCTTCATACCATGAGCCCCGGTCCAGCCCACAGGTGCAGGCACTCCTTAATCTGGTAACAGGTAACCAGCTTTTACCCTTTTCCTCCACCAACTGGGGCAACATGGAAACTCCTCCCAGTCCCACATGTGGAAACAGAAGAGTGAAGTATGTCTGGAAGCAGTGCTGCTCTTCACAGGAGACCCCAAGCCATGATGGGTGCTGGAGAACGCTTACAACTCTTTCAATCCCTCCGGCATCACACCTGGAGTGGTGTGGCCTAGGAGGAGGCGAGGAGCTCACAACCCGCAGGGTCCCTGTAAATTAAACCTCACTTACTTCCTGTTTCCATCTGCAGTAATTGAAGGCAGAAGAGTGTCTTGCTGATGAACTGATGGTAGTAAACTTTCTGGTCAGAATATAGCAGGAGAGATTACCCTTATAAACAAGTGTCTAAAATATGTATGTCCTTGAGGGAGGGGAAAATAGCTAGAACCCAGGTATTTAATGTGGGCAAAGTGCAAAGAAAAAAGAACAGCACTGAGCATCTGTAGCTCTGAGGTTCGTGGGGAGCAGAAGTCAAATGAATAGTTTTGGCTAAAGAAATTAATCCCACAGACACTGTCCTACGAGATCTTTTGTTTTTCTTCATCGCAGAGCTTCTCTCCCTCTCTCTCTCCCCCTCCTTCCCTCACTCTCCCTCTCCCTCTCCCTCTCCCCTCCTTCTCTCTCTCCTCTCAGGCTTCTAGAGTGTCCCTGTGCCTAGGCAGCGAGGAAGCAGTCTTTTAACAGTGGACACAACAGTGCCTTTCTCCAGGTTAGGTCTTGTGCCTGGAATAGCTTCTCAAAGCTTCTCTCTGCTCTCAGTCTTCCCAGGATGGGATCTGTCTTCACCTCTTGCCTCTAATACCTAACATTCCCCTCTCCTCAATGGCTAATGTCACTGTATTTTCCTCACCCAATTCTAAGATGTCAAGGTAATTAAAAGACCCTTGTGTTTCAATAGGCCTGAAGTTCATGGCAATTGGAGATGAGTTAATTCTAATTCCCACAAGATCCCTTATTTTGACAGTTCCCTAAGAAAAATCACAACTTGCTAGCTTTTCTGTTGTTTTTGTCTCCCTGTGAGCAATTTTGAATTTGTGCTATTGGAGGAAGAGTTTCCAGAGTGTAAAACACTGTCCTCTAGCAGATACCCTGCATCCAGGGACACCCCAAGGGGAGCGCTCTCCTTCAACAAGCTCTGTTGTCTCTCAAAGAAGAAAAAAGTTTCTGTGGCTTAGTTCTGCCTTGTTGAAATGACTTTCAAGACACTGAGGCTATTGCATCTGCAATAGGCAGCACTTTCAGTCGAGGGGGGAGATTCCTCTCCACCACGTTTCAAGTCGAGCTTATTAGACATGTAGCTGGAGGGGCTCGCACATCATGGAGCAGGCTAATTGTCTGCAGTGCACTCTGCCTCCAACCCATCTCCAATGTCCAATTAAACTCCCGTCGTCTTGTGGTCCTGGGCGACCTGCGGCTGCCTCCGATTTGGCATTTCTGTTTGGGTTTGGATATTGGGGGTTTTGTAGTCCTTTCGAAGGTAACTTAATGAAACACTTTAAACACTTCAATTTTTAATTTAAACTCTTTTAATTAACATGTTTTCCATGGACCCCTCAGTCAGGAGTTATTTCCCCACATCTTTCAGTACTTAATCTCAGAGCAGAATTGGAAATATCAATAGAAAGTGTAAATCACACCCTCCTGCTGAAAGCGTTGTATCAGGTTTCAGCTCAAAAGAGCACCATTACCTTTAGCTGTCACGGATCTGTACACTTGATCGATAAACTTCAAATATTATTAGAGGTGGAGGCTTCAGAGATTTGCTCTGTTCTTTGGAGAGAGACAGAGATAAATCTTTCTTAAAAATTGACTTGAATTTGCACTCTCAGTCTTCCTGGTGAAATGCATTTCTCTTAGGCGTCCAGCAACTGCAAGGGGGACAGATTTATAGGCCATGTGCTTCTTGTACTGAAAGATTTAAATGGTAAATCCTTCACATATGACTTCACAAATCATGTAAAGTTAAAAGATTTTTACCGTTTCTGTTGCTGCTGTGCTTAAATTGTAAGGTACAGCTAGTAAATCATTTTAATGGAGGTGTCGTACTTGACTCAATAAAAAAAAAAAAAGACAATGGTTTAGCTTCCACTCGAAAATGTTAATGTATTAATCAACGGGAGAATAATTGTTTTTTACTACATTATAAATCCTGGGTGCCATTAGGATTTCAGCAAGGGGTGATGTAGCCACAGTCCTAAATTAAAATTGTTTACACTGCCATACATCCATTCTGCATTGCCATAGCTCATTCTGGGTTCATTTTGGAGTTGTTCCCCAGCCAGATATGTCATTCCTCAGTCAGAAGAAGACAACCTGAGGGAGTGATGCTTATAAAGGAAAATTAATTGCATTGTGAAGTGTTAAATAAATAAAATAGAAACTGTGGCAATGGACAATTATTCCTTGCTGTCTTTTTTGAAGTGAGTTTTTAGGTTTTAGATTGAGGCTTATTCCCTCATACATCCTAAATGTGGCAAGCACGTCACTTGTCTTTAGTCTCATAATCCTTGTTTTATCTCTAGGCAGCTGTGGCTTTGGAGTTCCTCACTTTTTCTATGCCTATGCCTAGCAGAGAATAAGTCACTGGGTACCTGGCCTCCCCTCCGCAGCCCATTACTGCCTAAAGGTGCCAATCCAAGCGCCCTTAATTAGGTTGACCTCCTTAATAGAACCTGCAACTGGATACAGATAGAGTGAACGCTAAGACCAGTCAGGACGGGATGGACTCCGTTTCTTCCCCCCCTGATCACAGAGCTTGTTCCAATGCGTTAGTGCTGCCTGCAGTGAAATTGCCTGTGGGAAGAACGGATCAGTTCAGCACTGCACAGGTCAGTCTGCCCGCTCAGTGTAACTTGATCTATCTCCAGATTGTTCTCTCTGACTACTTCATTAAAAAGGAGGTGCCCGCCAGCCCCGGAGGCAGTGGCGCACAGGGCTTCTGGTGTCTCATGATGCACTCTACACCCTATTCCTCTTCTGATCTCAACAGATTCTCGAGCAGGTGAAGAAGGCTCGATAAGGGCAGTGGATCATGCTGTGATTGGCGGGGTCGTGGCCGTGGTGGTGTTCGCCATGCTGTGCTTGCTCATCATTCTCGGGCGCTATTTTGCCAGACATAAAGGTAAGCAAGGTGCTTTGGCAGGCAGGAGGCCTCGTGTCAACACAGCCCCTGCATTCAGGGGCTTCACAAGGTTGTCCTTGATAGGCAATTTGGTTTACGTGGCTGCATAGCCTCTTGATTCCTAAAACAGGGGAGAGAGAAAAAAACAAAAAACAAATTTTAGCGGCTGCTGATTAGGGCTATGAGAGCTGATGAGTAGCAAGCTCTCCTTGATTTGGATTTTCTTTCTATATAAAGCTTTATAGATTGTTACTCTATAATCCATAATTGAGGATAGAGTAAAATCACAGAGTCGGGGCTGGTGTACAAGGTGTGCGTGTGAACCCTGTACAAGCATGGAAAGAGAACACCTGTAACCTACTGCTTTCTGTGGAGCAGGTAGACTAGCTCTGCTCCCTGGCCCCAAACTCCTGGTAGGCTGGCCACAGTAGCTAGACCATTTTGTTGGTTTAATGTGCTTTAAAAGCCACATAAATATGTATTTTTAAAATTATCAGTGCAATTGATTTAAATTATTGTTAATCACACACTTACCAACCGTGCAATCTGGACAGGCAATCATCTTTTCCAGCACTTCTCCTCTCTGCCCCATGCTGCTCTGATCCTCTTCTCCCCTCTGGGTAATTTAGCCTTTCTTTTCTTTGTCGGCCCTTGTCTTTCTCAGTTGTTTTTCTGAAGCGCTGTGCAGTGACCTTGCGGGGCTTCCCATAGTATGAACTCTTAGGCACTTGAATACTGCTCGCTTAAAGAACTGGGGTCTGGGGTTGGTCTGATAAACACAGCAATGGAAGTCCAAGGTACTTGACAACTGCCTTTAGGATGCAAAGTGACAGTCTTAAGTGTAAAACCATTTGGGACCTCCGTGCTCTGTGTACTTCACCCTCCACCCATACCCAGGAGGTAGACAGGGCAAGAACTCAACAGCCTCTTGGGGCTGAGCTGGGCAGAGCCAGGGAGGAAGGCCAGAGAGCAGGGCAGATGTCTGGGCACAGCTGTGGAGAGCCGTGGGGCAGAGGGCAGGTGCAGTACTCTACCAAGGAAAGAGGACACGGGGAACACTGCCTGCCTGCCTGCCTTGTCAGATTTGTCACTCTGAAAATCTGAAAACACAACAGAAGTATCAGCCTTTCTTTGCTTCAGAGTCGTCAAGAATACATCATATAGTGGGAGGAGGGTTATTTGATTATGCAAGACAGTGTAAGCTCTACCTAAGTATCATATAGAGGTGCAGTCCTTGTCTTTCTTCATGTGAACTGTTTGGACTTGGTGATAAGAATGTCACCAACTTTGTACTGCTCTGTCTATTGTCATTGTAAAGTGGCTGTGCCAATTAGCAAATCCATGAATCTGGGTCCGGCTAGAGTTACACTGTGAGAATCACCTGTGGCTTAAGGCAGACCCCAAGCCTTGATTATAGCTGTCATAATGTCAAATTACTTCTGCACCTGGAACCCCACTCTGAAACGGAAGGCAGAAGAAAATCAGACATGCTTGTACAAGTTCAAGCACGTCTCACTTACGGGCAGGCAATAATGATTCATGAGGAGACAGGGTTCAAGTAAACGACCTGAGATGATAATAGACCATCATCAGGGCCCTAATTCATTTATTGGCTAATTGCTCTTTCTTGCTTTGGTCTTTAACCATGTGTGTGCACATATCTGGTCATTGGTCCTGTTTATACGTTACTGTTTATATGTTAGTCAGCAGCTCTCCAGCTTTCTGCATTTTTAGCTCCCACTCACGTCCTCCTTTGCTGACATCCTCTGGTCATAATCACTGCTCTAATGTCTCATTTGCTGAATTATATCGCAGCGGTTCAGTTGGAGTGGTGCCTTTGGAACCCCCGGATCCCCATTTGTCTCACCCACCTCGCTCTCTTCTTCCAATTGTTTTTTCCCCTCTGCTGCCTGCACACCACTTCGGCTGATGATGGCCATAAAGCAAGTTGCCATCTCTGTACCACTTTACACAGAGGCCATCAGACAGTCACGGTGCTTTACCCCTTCATCTTTCAGGTACATACTTCACTCATGAAGCCAAAGGAGCCGATGACGCAGCAGACGCAGACACAGCTATAATCAATGCAGAAGGAGGACAGAACAACTCCGAAGAAAAGAAAGAGTACTTCATCTAGATCAGCCTTTTTGTTTCAATGAGGTGTCCAACTGGCCCTATTTAGATGATAAAGAGACAGTGATATTGGAACTTGCGAGAAATTCGTGTGTTTTTTTATGAATGGGTGGAAAGGTGCAAGACTGGGAAGGCTTTGCTGTATAAAAAAATGTTCTTTGAAAAGTACACTCTGCTGTTTGACACCTCTTTTTTTGTTTGTTTGTTTGTTTGTTTGTTTTTGAATTTTTATTTCTTCCTACCAAGTCAAACTTGGATGCTTGGATTTAGTTTGGATAGATTGCAGAAAATTCTGTGCCTTGTTTTTTGTTTGTTTGTTGTGTTCCTTTTTTTTTTTTCTTTGTGCTCATATATTTTTCCCAAAATTTTTTTTTCCCAAAATCTTCCATTTTGGAATTTGCCTGCTGGGATTCCTTAGAATCTTTTCCTCCTTATTTTGCTATTGTTTTTACTTTTTTGTTCATTGTTGAAGTAACTGCTTTCTGTTCAAAATTCAGTTTCATGAAAGGAGAACCAGCACAGCTTAGATTTCATAGTTCAGAATTTAGTGTATCCATAATGCATTCTTCTCTGTTGTTGTAAAGATTTGGGTGAACAAACAATGAGAACTCTTTGCTGCTGCCCATGTTGCAAATACTTAGAGCAGTGAAGACTAGAAACTTAGACTGTGATTCAGAAAATGTTCTGTTTGCTGTGGAACTACATTACTGTACAGGGTTATCTGCAAGTGAGGTGTGTCACAATGAGGTTGAATCTGTCTTTAATTCTGTATTTGTAGACGGCTCAGTATAGATACCCCACGCTGTCCAGAAAGGTTTGGGGTGGAAAGGGCTCCTCCTTTTTCAATGCCCTAAACAGACCTGACAGTGAGGGCTGTTCCTTTTACATAAGTGGACAAATTTGAGTTGCCACAGGAGGGGAAGTAGGGAGGGGGGAAAGATAGTTCTGCTCTGGTTATTTCTGTTCCAAATGATTCCATCACCTTTCCCAATCGGCCTTACTTCTCACTAATTTGTAGGAAAAAGCAAGTCCGTGTGGTGGGCAAAGGACTGAATGGGACAGGTTTTTTTTCCTTTGTGCTTAGTTAGGAAGGCGGTAGGATGTGGCCTGCATGTACTGTATATTACAGATATTTGTCATGCTGGGATTTCCAACTCAAATCCATGTGAAAATTTCCTTCCTTCAGATTTGGCTTGACAAAGGCAGGAGGTACAAAAGAAGGGCCAGTATTGTTCTCACACTGGTCTGCTGTCAATCTCAGTTCTCAAAAGGTCAGAGCAGAGGTGGAAAAACAGCATGTAGAGGTTTTCAGTTACTTAATCAAAACTCAAATGTGAGTGTTTTTATCTTTTTACCTTTCATACACTAGCCTTGGCCTCTTTCCTCAGCCTTAAGAACCATCTGCCAAAAAATACTGATCCTCGCATGATGGCAGCCATAGTGCATAGCTACTAAAATACATTACCGTGAACATATCTGAGATGGGGAACCTTGGGAAAAAGTAGAGGAGTCGAGTTACTATTTACATTTTTTAAAGAAATGTACGTCTAGGATATCTAGAAGTAGTCCTGAAGGACAAAAAACTAAACTCTTACCATATGTTTTGGTAAGGCTCCAGACTCCAGAATACAGTCCCGATGGAAAGATGGCATCAAAAAAGATAGATATCTATATATAAAAATATATATTATATAACATTTTCAGTGAGTAATTTTGGATTTTGCAAGGTGCATTTTTACTATTGTTACATTATGTGGAAAACTTACGCTGATTTATTTAAAGGGGAAAAAGTGTCAATTTTTTTTTTTGAAAGCGTGTTTATTTTTCTTGTCTTTATTTTAACCTTTGATAGAACCATTTGCAATATGGGGCCTTTTGGGAACGGACTGGTATGTGAAAGAGAACCCATAACGAGCAGCATTTTGTTTTCCCCTCTCCTATCCCAAGGCACTTAACCAAGACAAAAAGCCACAACGAACATCCCTTTTTCAATGAATTTTATAATGTGCAGCTCTATTCCGAGCCCTTAGCACCCATTCTGACCATAGTATAACCATATCAAAGGATGAGAACCATTTAGCATGTTGTTGACAGGTTTTTTCAGTTGTTCTTTTTAGGAAAATAAAAAACAAAACCTAGCATTACTCACAGAATTGGCATCTCATTTTTGGGACCTCCCATCTTTCTGTTTTGAAAAGTGTACAGTAGTGCAGTGTTCCTGATGTAACTTTATGGCTTACAATGTTGACATGTCTCAGGTTCATGTGTTTCGATTGGTGTTTTCCGTCTCAGGTAGATTGCGAAGTGTAGGCCCCACACATTGGAAAAAATAAAATAAAACAAAGCAAAAACAGGAAATTATGGATTTTAGTTGTATATTGGTTTATGTATTTTTTTCTTAAGTATACAGTGCACTGTTTGAAATGTATTGTTGAGTATTACTTTGTACAGGTTGATCACTTTTTTTAGAGTGAAGAAAGAACAAACTTGTTTTTTGTGTTTTTTAAAGGAATATAAAATAATGAAGGATGTATAATTGATGCCAAATAAGCTTGTTCTTTAGTCACACCGACGTCTTATTTTTCCCTTTAGGCCAGTTCTGTTTTTAAGGTGTACATGAACAATGTTACGGTGTAAGAAACTCCATATCCATATGTTCCCATTCACATTTTGTATTGGTTCATGTATACCATTTTTACAAAAAAAAGGAAAAAAAAGAAAAAAAGTACTATAAAATATCTGTCTTCTTAATAAAAAAATTAATGTTACAAAGTGATCCTTTAATCTCATTATGGACTTTTTATGGACACCTCGCATGAGAGAAGAGATGGGCCCCCAGTCCCGCTTCCTCCTCAGGACCTTGTGCAGGGCCCAGAGCACAGCCGTAGATGCTAGGAAATGCTGCTGGCTGGGCTTCTTCGATCTGATTTCTCTCTTCCTCCACTCATCCTTCCTGTCCTTGTTCTCTTCTCCCCTCTCAGTGGCCAGGTGGGCCAGGTGCTTTGGCAGCGTGGACTCAGCGATTTGTGCAGGTGTGTGGGATGCAGTGGTGGGCCAGCTGGACAGGCCCTTCCATGGATTCAGCTCCTGCCCCCTCCCCCTCTGTTCACCCACCACCCCCACCAACTTCCCTGTGTTGGCTGCTCCACCTGTCTCTTACTTTGGGATTTTGTGTCTTAACAATTCATTCCACCTTCTTCATTTCAAGTTCTCTCTCCTGTAACTAAAAGAAGACTTGCTGTGCGGAGGATTGGCTCAGCCGCCTACAGAAGACTGTTCTCGCTTCCTGTTTAGGCTGCCGAGACTTCCCAGCCAGGGTGTCCTGCAGGATTCCGTCTGTTGTTGTCCTCCTTGCCTTGCAGGCCGAAGTGAGCAATGCCTAGCCTTGTGGTGACTGGTCTTACAAAAGCGCAGATAATATCTAAGCAGCCCCGAAGCTCCCCTTCCCCACGGCTCACCCACCTGGGGTTGAGCTTCCCTTTTCTGTATTGGGCAGGGAATGGGGAAAGCTCAGCGGTGGAAAAAAAGGTAAGCTCTAGAGAAGCCGATGGCCGTGCATCTCATTTCAGCCTCTTCCATCCTGGCCTGGTCTCTTGCCTGTGTCTGTAAAACTCAGTTAATTAGATGTGAAGTTACTGAGCACCTGCTGTATATCCAGCATTGTGAGACACAGAGACGTGTAAGACCCTGGAAGCTAACAGGACCATTGGTTCCACTCACACGAAAAACAGGAAATGTACCTGGCTGGTGTGGCTCAGTGAATTGAGTGTCAACCTGTGAAACAAAGGGTCGCTGGTTCGATTCCCAGTCGAGGCACATGCCTGGGTTGCAGGCCAGGTCCCCAGTAAGGGGTATGTGAGAGGCAACCGCACATTGATGTTTCCCTCTCTTGTTTCCCCTCTCTCTAAAAATACATACATACATGCATGCATACATACATAAATAAAATCTTTAATGAAAAAAAGAAAAACAGAAAATGGCACTTAGCCTCAGGGGCCCAGCCAACATGGTGAAGGAGCCCAGACAGTGCCATGGGAATTTCTTGGAGAAGGGAAATCAGTGAAGACTGGGGGCTCAAGACAGCTTTCTGGAGGAGCTGGAAACCCAGCTACATCTCAAAGGATGGTTTATTGGGCAGGTGATGTGAGTCACAGGTATGGAGGGTGGCATCAGTCTTGCGGCTGTTCCCAAACTCCAAGCAAAGGAGTCAAGATTTGGGGACCTTCTCTCAGCCTCTATGAGAGGGCAGAGAGTAGCAGGTAGCACTAATTCATCATAGCTGTGCAAAGTAGTCACTGGTGAACATGTTCAAAGTTAGAGATCAAGACAGTGTTCTAGGAGAGACTGCCTGGTTCCAGTCCTTGTTCCACCACTTACTAACTGAAACCTCAGGTGTGTGGACACACCTGTCCTCGTGAAGCTTGCCTTAGAATGTTTGATGACCCCTTTTTCTTCACCATTCATTAACATAGTTACCCCAGGCTATGTGTCACACAGTATGTTCAGTGTCCCCCTCCCCTCTCCCCTTGTCTATAACATGAGGTGCCCATTTCACCTGCAGCTTACAGAAAAGAGACCCATGACAGTCATTGAACTGAGGCAAACAGGAGTTCCCCAGGGTATGCAAACGAGAAGGTGCCAGAGCAGTCTAGGTTAGCAGGAGCTAGGTAAGTTGCCTGGACCTTCATTTGGTCTGGGAGAGAAAATGGTTCTTGGTTCCTCCAGAGAGTTCTCCAGTTTGGCCTGCTTGCATTCTCCAAATACATCAGCTAGAACCTCACAGTGATATGCAGGTATGTATTGGTGCAGTCTTAGACTGTCCTCTGTGTACTTAAAATATAATTCTTAAACTGCTGTGGACTTACTCCATGGAGAAGTATTCCTTTGGTTCTCTCATCCAGAACCTTAAAGCAACCACGCAGTCACCATGATACAGGTAGAAAGATTCTGTGTAAGTGAAGGCACTTTTTTAGTATAAAATTCTGCCCAAGACTAATATGCACTCATTTTTGCAATGATCCAAGTATACAGCCCTTAGTCATGAATAGCTGGCAGCCATAGTTCTTCAGAATGAAATCTGTATAGTTTGGAAATATTTCCAAAGGAAGCATTTGGATGTCCTGACCCCTGTACAAGAGAAAGAAAAGGGTGTTCTCAGCCATCATCCAAATGACCTTGTGGGCCAATACATTAAGTCAGTGGTAGGACCATAATAGACACTGAACAAGTAGTAGTTGATTAAAGGGAGACTAGTCAAGCACCTGATTGCCCAGATCTCATTTTGTCCTTAGTCACCAATTCTGTATCCCAAATCTGAACACTTTTAAGTCCATCCTCAACATAGGGAGCTTTCAGGTTGGGCTTGAAGAAATCAGCCAGCCAGCCAGTCCTGAGTTTGGTGCTATTAGTCCCACCATTCTTAAGGACCTGCCAGGACTGAGTATGTGCTGTCTCCTGCAGGGAATGACATTTTGGGTAATAGCTAAGCAAAGCCTCACCATTGTGAGGTAAGCATATTAGAAAAAAATCAAACCATATTTCTTGCCTTATTTGTGTTTATCTTCAAATTGTGAAATATGTCTCTGATAGAAGCCACAGTATTTAATACATCCCTATCACCCCCAACATCACACGTGCCAAAATCAGGGTGTTAGGCACAAGGAACACTCAAAACTGAGACTAGAAAGCAAGAATCTTCTGTTTTCAAGTCATCCAGTCCTCAGCTTCAGGTTCTTTTTGTACCAAGGAAATTGTATTTGTTTTAATTTTTATGTTTTTTTATTTTTCATTCTAAAGTGAACAAAAAATGTTTCCTGCCCCTGGTGGTCAGTGCCAGGAAATACGACTCAGGCCTTACATATTTACTAGATACGGAAATAATATCAACAAGGAACCTGATTTAAGGTCGCTGCTTTTTCTGTCTCCCACATGGACATCCAATCTAGACTACCATTTAACTTCCTCCTCATTATCCTTTGAGGTGTTGAGCTATGGGGGTGGTGATTCTGGGGAAAGTGAAGACCACTACTGAAGGACAAGTCAATGCATGTTTTGGGCCCAGGACTTCTCCAGCTGCCTTCCAAACGTGCACTGGCTCACAGTCATATTTCAGACATGATCGCCTTAAATCTTCCTTAAGTGCTATCTTCTTCAGGTTAATTAATCACCAAGTTTAAACTTGCTGTTACCAGCAGGAAGTCCATCCTGAAGTCAGCAATGTTACAATTGCATCTTCTAATACTGTTTATCCTGCATTAGTGTTTACTTAGGGGGAAAATTGATCTGTAATTGATATTTCAGTCTTCCAGAGCTGGTGTTGGAAGAGCCTAATGCAAGCCTTTAATAGCAAGCAAATATTTAAATCCCTTAATGGTTGCTGAATATTGAAATGTGTGACTTGATTACTCTTTTTGGTTTGTTTTCTCTGTAGTTGTGTATTTCATCGTTTAAACTTACATCGGATGCTGGCAGGCTGGAGTCTAGCTAATCCACAAAAGCTGTTTGCCCAGACCCAGCAGACCTGATTAAAAAGTATTGCTATGGAAGGAAGTCTTCCCACTAATCAGTCTTTGTTAGCTAGTGATGAAATTACTATCCATCTCTCTCTGTTTCTCTTTCTCTCCTTCTCTCTAGGCCTGTTTTCTCTAACCTCCTCTCCCAGAATAAAGTGATGGGGGCAGCTGTAGTGTTGCAATTAGGAGCATGAATCTTTTATCGTTTGGACAAGGAAGGGAAAATGCCATTACTGTCAACTGAAATGTCCTACTTGGGTTTCTTGCTCCTACTTCCCTGCCAAAGCTCATTGCTGCTGCTGAAAGTGTGTAACATTCACAGCTGTTCTTGATGGCTTGATTCTTAACACAGCCAGAAATGTAGCCCGAGAGATGCTTAAGACAGTTTATGGAAAATAATAGATTTCCTTGCAGAGACGAATGCATCGAGAAGGGCATTGAGTCACATTAGACCCTGCCAAGATCACCAATTTTCTCCCTTTCTGGCTTCAGCTACAAAAGCTATCAGTTTAAAAAAAAAATTGCAGGCCCTCTTGCATCCTGTGTTTTCCTGGTTGGGTTCTACCGGCACCCTCAAGTGTCTGGCTGTGACAGCCATTGTCTCACCACTCACCTCCAGCAGCCAGGAGATCTGAAAGAAGCGTTGCCTACCTGCAGAAGTAGAAAGAAAAAGATGCTGCAGAGAAGAAGAACTCTCAGGAGAGCCAGCCAGTGAAGCCTGGGACTAGGTCCACCGCCCAGGGGTTCCAGAGACAGAGGTGGCTATGCTGAAGGCCACTACCACCCTAACACAAGGGTGGAGCCTTCTCAGTGCGGCATCCCCATGTGACCATCAGGAATGCCAAGAAGTGGTGTAGTTGGTCCAACTAGCTTCAGCTATACGCCCCATCACTGCACTACTTCTCATACCCAGCCCTTAGTTAGGAACCTCTGAAAATGAAACTCTCTATAGCAGGCAAGAGGGAGTGGCTGCTCAGTCACAAATGTTTGGGAGGATGCAAGGATGAAACAGCAAACAGTACATCATGAGGGTGCAACTTTCAGACCGTTTCTGCGAATGTATGTCCAAAGCCATGTGTTTCCTCACCCCCGAGTGCCTCCTCAGCCATGCCAGGAAGGAAAAGCAGAGGGCATGGCCAGCAGGCACTGGCCCCAGCTCTCGCCCTTCCACTCTAGTTGCAGCTGAGAA